GGTAAAAATATCGAAACAGGAATTGTTTTTAATGGTTGTGGTTACTCACTAACATCTGGTGTACAGCAGAGGCTCTAGCAAAGCTGAAATAGAAGGCCAGGTGTAACCATCTGTTAAAAGAGTGAACAAATGGTACAATGACAGAAGAATGGTAGTCCATCCTGTCAGAACCACAGCAGTGTTCTGCAAACTCAAAACAGACATATTTTGCGTGTACTACTATCTCTCTGCTACCAAAAGCATCAACGTACTGAATGAACTTTGAAACAGGAAAGACAGCCGAATAACGTCATCTGCTGCTGTCCTACCAAAGCCTTATCTGTTCTGTCCTTTTTTATGTACTATCGCTGCATCAGAATTAGTTCTATGCAGCTAGATATAATTGAAAAGATACAAAATATATCTTTAGTTTAAAATGTATGATTTAAGGTAGTTTAAAACTAGTCACGAGATGTACTTCAGCCACTCCCATCAAAGACCTATAACATCTCGCCATCCTTAGCAGCGTTGCAGAACATCAAAAGTAATTACAAGCAGAATTTTTCACTTCGGTTTCACAAGTCACTGTCCCTTTTCAATCAGGACATTATATGTCCAAAATGACCTCGCAGAAACAAACTAACAAACAAAAAAAGAAGAGAATTGCCTAAAAGGGATCTCAGGAGACAGTCATGGGTGGACAGATGCTATAAAGCTACTACTGAGATGGTTGACCTTCACCAGACTTCAGGTGGAAATAACATGTGGTGACACTGAAATTAGTCTAAATAGAAAATGTAGAAATTGGTCAGAGGATGAAGCGTAAAGAGCCTGTTAGAACCTATTTAAGGTGTTTGCTGAACAGCCATCTGTTGTCTTAGCCACAAATGATTCCTACACTACACAAGCGAGAGAACTAGCTGGGATTTATCATCTAACATAGAAACCATTCGCGTAAGGCTAATTGGGAATTAAAACTTCCTAGAAATAGCACTAGGATGGAACTGGAAAACATAAAGCAAGATCTCCTCTGGATTACTAAAAGTAAATAACCAAAAATAGAAAGTACCATCACCATAATATGTGCAACTAATTTGTAGGCTGTTCTGAATAAAATCCGTAGTAGTTGGTCACCAGATAGATAGCAGAAAGCAAAGTAACCACATGGTGATGTCGGCCATGCAGGGGTAAAAACTGAATAACAAGCAGGTAACAGAAGCTCTTATATCAAATCCGACACAACTCTATAGGGAGGCTCTCTATCTCCTTTGACAAAAGACAAAACGGCAACTATGAGGGAATACAATTGCTGGAAAACAAAGTAACGTACGATGTAGCTTGGAAAGGAAAATATTGAGAATCCCTAAGACAGTATAGAACCAGAAGATCAAAATCTATAAACAAACTCTCTTCTACGTGACCCTCCTCCATATGAGGGTCCAGCACCCGTCGGTGCAATCCGTTCCATGAATTGTCATTTAGTGTGGCCTTGATTTTAAAATTAGTCTCATGTCATGAGGATAATATTGTTGTTTATAACTAATATTTTTTTATCTTGAATAGAGATACATTTTCTGATATTAATAAACGGAAACTTAAGCATAAAAGTTACTTGAAAACATTTTACGTTTTCAAAGGGAGATTTCAAAAATTTTAGTTTTTTTTAAACATTTGAACCATTCCTCTATGTCGAAAAGGATTTCATTACTTTTGTTTGTTCCATGCATTTACATTAACAACAAAAATGTTAACAATGAATTAATTTTATGGCGGTCACACTTCTTTCACAAAACTTCTTCTTTATATAAATGTAAATTCGAAACTAGAGATAAGAACAACGTTGAGTTGTGAAAAAGATACATATTAAAAATTTGATAAATTATAACTTTATGAACAGTTATATTTTTTCTTAAAATTTAAACAATACATGTAATAATAAGTTAATCTAAGTTCCTTTTCATTTGTTATCAAATTCATTCAATGTGTAATTTCATCATTACCATTTTATTTAAATAGATTTTGTTTATAATTAAGCACAACGCAACACAATGGGCTATCTGTGCTCTGCCCACCACGGGTATCGAACCCCGGATTCTAGCGTTGTAAGTCCGCAGACATACCGCTGTGCCACCTGGGGGGCATTTAAATATATTTCGTTGATTGTTAATATCTTTATTGCTGAACCCCAGTTGTTGGTGCTTAAAATCTTAACCCTACTGCTGATCCACCTGTGGGGTGGGGTGGGGAGATATTAATATATTTCATTTGTAGTTTTGTTAGAAGAAACAATTAATTAAGTCGGTGGAATTTGTCCACTTTCATTACACCACCCATTTTTTTTTCTTTGAAGCACACGTTACCACCATCAAAAACAAAGCAATGCTGATATTTAAATTATAATTATATTGGTAATAATTGACTTTGAAAAACTTTGAATCATTTAAAACATATTTACCTCTAGATATATTGTAACTTACTGACTATAAAATGTTTTTGTGATTTAGAGCAAACAACATTAGGCTATCTGCTGAGTCCACCGAAGGAAATCGAACTCCTATATTTAGAGTTGTTAGTCCGTATACTTATTGCTGTCCCAGCTAGCCCGGCATGATCAGGTGGTTAGAACTCTCGTCTCACAATCTGAGGGTAGTGGGTTCGAACCCTCGTCCAACTTAACATGCTCGACCTTTTAGCCGTAAGGGCGTTATAATGTGATGGTCAATCCCACTATTCGTTGGTAAAAGAGTAGCCCAAGAGTTGATGGTGGGTGGTGATGACTATCTGCCTTCCCTCGTGTAGCTTTGTGCGAAATTCACAACAAACAAACAAACTGTCCCACCTGATGAATAAAAAAAATCCACTTGTATAGTACTGATCTTAAACATACTGAGTCTTTTTTTTCCCCCTTAGTGACAAACAATTTCAACCGAAGACATTTTTCTCAAAATATCTATGCTCCATGTTTGTGTGCTAAATTTTGGGTTAAATAACCTGATCTCTGAATTAGAAATAAACAATTTACTTTAATAATTTAAAATTCAGTTTGAAAAAAAATGATTAAATTCAAAGTGTCAACCCACATTTAATTACAGTTTTAAACTAACGTGTAACATGTAAACCATAAACGTATCAAATATTTACTGACATCTGAAACGATGTAATAAAACAATCTGTAAAAAGTACCCTGAATGTTGTCTATCTGTCTAGAAGGCCAACGTAAATAACAGCTGAAGACGAAAGATTTTCGAAACGTCGTCCTCTACCTTTGTGTTTTTTTACAACAGCCAATTGCCGCCCATTCCAGTTTATTCTTCATGAATTCTCTACCTAAATAATCTATCAAGAAATATATAACGGCTTTTTATTTGATATACTTGTGAAAAGATAGATTTTCTATTTTTTTAGTTTTGAGTGTGTTCACGTTAACTTTTCCTTCTAGTATTAGTTAATGTGTTTAACATAAAATAATACTTTTCTTCGGTATTTAATATCGACGCATACGATAACAACACCCCTTGTCATAAGTCGTTTATCACAACCACATTTTGTCCCCAACTACCTCTCTCTCTCAGTAAACATTTAGTAAGTGATGATCTTGACTCAAAATTCGCTTTGTAACAGTAAGTTATATATTATGGTACAAATCTAAGAAAATTAAAAGAATCCGCTACAATTCTGTGTTAAAGATAACGTCTTCGTACAAAAAGATAACGAACACAACTGATTCCTCCATCAAACATCCCGCAAGAGGAAGTGAAAAGAAAAAAACGTTGTTGAGTAACGATCCCAGACAATTTATTAATGTATTAAAGACGTGATAAATACAGATTTGTTAGATATGATTGTTTTATCGTGCTCACTATCAAGAAACTGTATTTTATTCTCCGAATTTAGATAAACGTGATTCAGCGAATTCAGTAAGTTGTGACGTATGACTCTTTTAAGAAGAATCAGTTTAACTTGTTTGTAGTTAAGCACAAAGCTACACAATGGGCTTTCTATGCTCTGCCCATCACGGGTATCTAAACCCGGTTTCTAGCGTTATAAGTCCACAGACATACCGCTATGCCACTGGGGGCTAACATCAGTGAATAATAAATCGATTTATGTAGAAGTAAAGTTATTTAACATCAATTTCTTAAATGCTTAAATATAATTATATATATATATATATATATTTCTCTGTTATAAATATTTACACATCCGCTACTATGAACACTATAATCTAAATTAGGCTCTCTAGACTAGTAACGCTATGCAATAGATAACAGAGTTCCTTTTACACACGTGTTGGAATTCTAAGATACTTTATCAGTTCAACTAGATGTTAAAATCTTTGATAGGTTGTTTAGGCAGAATATTCATAATGAATCATAGTTTCAAACAGACAGCAACTGCCTGTTGTAGAAACCTACAATTGTAGAGGACGACGTTTCGAAAGTCTTCCGCCTTTCGTCTCCAGGCAGTTGCTGTCCATTTGAAACTTAGATTCATTGATTTTTAAAATTGTCGAATTGATCCCTTCGTAGTATGCAATACACAAACCTGCCTGAGTCTGTAGTTTGTTTGTTTGTAGTTAAGAGCAAAGCTTCACAATGAGCTACCTGTGCTCTGCCCACCACGGGTATCGAAACCCGGTTTCTAGCGTTGTAAGGCCGCAGACGGGGGGGGGCAGAAGAATCAGAATAGATGAAATATATATGCATTTTCTTTTTGTTCTTTTTTTCACAGATTTTTATTTCTAGCTCTGATATATTATAAAGCATGAAAACTTTAAAAATATTCACAGAACCTAGTTGTTTTCTCTATTAAGTTACTAGTGAGGAAAAAAGACATCGATTTCAAAATACATACATAAACATATATTAACTATGTACAAATATATATATATACATATTATATACCAATAACCAATATTTACAAAGCAGTGAAGAAAACAATAAGTCAAATTATTTAAGATACCACGGTGTACATCAACATTAATATATATATATATAATATCAACAAAATATATATATAGTATACAGTACCAGGTACTACAATTTTAAGGATGACTTTATCAACTTGTATCTACGTACATTTGTAAAGATATATTCCCAAGACAAAGAAAGCCACTGTTTGAAACAACAATACACAGTTATATATTAAAAACTCTTTGTGTACAGGTCGAATACGAAACCCTCACAATTACTTGTCCAAAGCCATTGTTTGAAACAACAATACACAGTTATTGATGACGAGAAATCCACTTTTTGGAAAATAAAAGTTTGGAGGATGACATAATCTTGTCGAAACGTCTACATTTATAACAAAGTTTTCTTCATTACCCAGTTAAACTGTCTCAAAACATTTAGCTAATACTCAGTTCTACATTAAAAGCTGTTTGCGTACAGTTCGAATACGAAAACCAAGCAATTACTTGTCCAAAGTCATTGTTTGAAACAACAATACACAGTTATACATTAAAAGCTGTTTGTGTACAGTTCGAATACGAAACGCTCACAATTACTTGTCCAAAGTCATTGTTTGAAACAACAATACACAGTTATACATTAAAAGCTGTTTGTGTACAGTTCGAATACGAAACGCTCACAATTACTTGTCCAAAGCCATTGTTTGAAACAACAATACACAGTTATACATTAAAAGCTGTTTGTGTACAGTTCGAATACGAAACGCTCACAATTACTTGTCCAAAGTCACTGTTTGAAACAGCAATGACAGGGTGTATTCTATCACCTTGGAGACAGAAGCTTCAATCGTGGTTTTCTAACACTTTATTACAAACATTTTTATCAACACATCACATATTAATGGTACATGAAATAATGTCTCACTGAATAATTATGAGATGAGTGTAGCTACTCCAAGAATAAGCCCATTATTTTCTTAGCACTTCATGTTGTTTTTCTGATGAATGGGACCTTTAGGAGTACCACTTCCAGATGTTCTAAAAACAACAATTACTACAAAAGAATAAATAGTATACCAGAGCGCCTGGAAAGTTTTCTCAAGCTTTTGTAGGAAAGTCTTATTTCCCTCAACTCAGCTGCGAGAAGTATGAACTATTTCTAACACACATCAAAATATTTATTGCACAACACAGACAATAAGTAAATCACAGCGACAACGTTATTTAGCCTCCATTTTCTTGAAATCGTTAGCAGTAGGAAACCCAAGCTTCAAAGGAAGACTAGGGTGTGTTTTAAACAAATTTTCAGATTGTCAAATGAAAAACTTTGAAATAAATGGCACTAGAATTGTTTTTTTTTTATTTCTATTGAAAAAAATCTTAATATCTGCTGAATGTTCAGATTTAACAGGATTGATGTGTATCTGTATTCCAGGACTAGCAGAGCTCGAAACGATCTGTTATACAGATTACAGACTCGAGTCACAGATGTCGGAATTGACAAAAACTTGGCATTCTTTACTTTGCACGTGAAAATCCCGCGTGTAGTTCATGACGTTCTTTCCTGACAGTTATAATCAGGATATGCATTATTGTGCTTTATAATTAAATACTTGAGTATGGTTTCCTGTTAAAAGAAGGCCCTATTAGTCAGACGTTGTAAAACTTGTAAGTTATTCATAATTTAGGTGCAAAAAGTGAAATTATTCGATACTTTTAACAAGTTGTATTCCCTCTAATTTTAATCAATTGAAGGTAAAATGTTTCTTTAACTGACAGATTCTTGAGGTACTCCATACATTATTGAATCCCTTAAACGTACGGCCTGGTCACAGTTTAAGTCAATACATGCTGCATTACGACGTCTTGCACTGAACACTATTGGTTCAGTAGAAAGTGCGGGCGATGTGTTTGTTTTCCGATCTAATCAGAGCAATACAGCTTTACGTAGCATTCATTAAGCTTCATGAATGTACATTCCACTTTATTTTACAGCTGAAGCATCATCATACCCGGACCAGACAGCTTTACGTAGCATTCATTAAGCTTCATGAATGTACATTCCACTTTATTTTACAGCTGAAGCATCATCATACCCGGACCAGACAAGGAATTCATTTCATGGAAAGAAAATTTCCATAATATATTCTGTAACTTCTTGGAATATTGAATGTGTGTACAAAATTCAAATAGTGCCAGGTAAAACTGTAATCTACAATGTAAGAAATATTAGGCCTAATACTGAAAGCCCGATTTGTTATACGCTTGTAGTGGTGTGTTCATTATTTCCTTAATCTAATACAAAACAGCTTAGTAACTAAAAATTTAACAAGGCATTTGCTTCAAGACCTGGAAATTTCTGATTTCAATAGATTGAAAATACCTAAAGTAAACAAGTTGAGGAACTCATTTATTTTAGACCTCAACTGTATAAGTTGAGCAGAGTTAAACTTGGCAATCAAGCTGGTGATTGAGCAGTTTAGAGAAGGGGTTTGTTCCAGTACAGTTCACGGTGGCAGCCATTGCTAGAGGTGGACATTGGTCACGTTGTTCAAGCTGAGTGGCTCTGGTGCCGTTAGTAGAAGCCATGCGCCGAGATCCAAAACGAATAGAATTCCTTGGGCAAATGTTACCAAGGAAACAGTTTTTCAAGACGTGTTTAAAATTGATCGCATAACTCCCGTAAACCAGTGGATTGACGCAGGAATTGGAAACAGCAAATATGAATAGTGATGACTGGATTTTTGAGTCTAGTTTATTAGCCGAATCTCTATCGATTTGATGCCAAAGAACCATGACCACGTACGGCGTCCAGCACCAGAAAAAAGCTGAGACGATGGTAATGGCCATTCGAAGGGTCCGAGTACGGGCTCTTTCTATACGGGTCATGTCGGACCTACGAAGTCGAAGGCGTCCATGGAAATGCTGTTCTTGGGACATGTCCTCTAGAATAAATAAAACTGTTTCCATATGATACCAATGAAATATAATTTTTTATAATCAAAACCAACACTCTGTTCCAAGGTATACTTGACCTGCACTTTTAACTCTGATATCATAGAAATAAAATTATCTTTTGCGTTGATTTAAGAAAATATAGAATCTAAGAGCGGCTGATATTAAGAAAAATAAATATAACAACTATAAAACTTCATTGAAAAGTGCAATTAAATAACCAATTCAATCTACGAGAAATGCAATATAAGGGATAACTTTAAAAGTGATTTCAAATGGCATGGTATTAATGAGAGAGATTATACCAATAACAATAATGCATGTTATCTTACAGAAAATATTTCTAATTGTAACAGAAAAACAATTCAACTATTCAGCTTTAAAAATTATTTGGCATGTTTATAATTTGTTCATTATAGATATCATAACCTATACCCTAATTACTCTTACCAAATGGGTAAAATATGAAAGACTGTGCGTGAAAAAAAAAACTAACTAGTTTAAGTACCTTTTTAAACCATGAAGTATATAATGCTCTACTTATAATATATGTTCGTCGACATAATGGGTTGTTGGAAGCTCGAAACTGCAGTTTGTGAGCTGTTACGTTCAACATTGTAATATCACAAACTAACCATCAAGAAGATGGCAAGGTACTAAATTTTCAATGATACATATCCCATTGAGGTGGTCCATATTTTATAGTCATAGCTCTGTAATATTATAAATTAAAGAAGAAGAAGATGGGAAGGTTCTACATTTTCAATGGTGCATATCCAATTGAGGTGGTCCATATTTTATAGTCATAGCTCTGTAATATTATAAATTAAAGAAGAAGAAGATGGCAAGGTTCTACATTTTCAATGGTGCATATCCAACATGAAGTGGTCCATATTTTATAGTCATAGCTCTGTAATATTATAAATTAAAGAAGAAGAAGATGGCAAGGTCCTAAATTTTCAATGGTGCATATCCAATTCAGGTGGTCCATATTTTATAGACATAGCTCTGTAATATCATAAATTAAAGAAGAAGAAGATGGCAAGGTTCTACATTTTCAATGGTGCATATCCAATTGAGGTGGTCCATATTTTATAGTCATAGCTCTGTAATATTATAAATTAAAGAAGAAAAAAAGGCAAGGTTCTAAATTTTCAATCATACATATCCAACATGAAGTGGTCCATATTTTATAGTCATAGCTTTAGAATATTTTCAAGTAAAGAAGAAGAAGATGGCAAGGTTCTACATTTTCAATGGTGCATATCCAATTGAGGTGGTCCATATTTTATAGTCATAGCTCTGTAATATTATAAATTAAAGAAGAAAAAAAGGCAAGGTTCTAAATTTTCAATCATACATATCCAATTTGAAGTGGTCCATATTTTATAGTCATAGCTTTAGAATATTTTCAAGTAAATTAATAACATGACTAGTATCCATCCACACTTATCTAAAGAAAATCTATACAGTAATCTATCACTATTCTGTTATTTATTTTAGTTGTTTTGCATTAAGTAAAAATATCTTTATTAGAGGACACACATTTCAATTTGAAGGAAAATTACGCGCTTGGCGTTAACAGTAGATCAGGAAATATTCAGACATCTTTAGTAAAATAACTTTTTAAACTTTTCGTTATTTTCAGAAACAGAACACTGGATTATAAAAATAGTTCCAAATCAGTCATCTTTAGAAAAGCCGTCGAGCAAAATTATAAATAAATATCTGTTCCATAAATTAAAAAAAAACAACACATCTTTAGTTAAGGTTACGTTGGAAGTTCAATAGTTTATCTACATCTTTTGCTACGAGTAACGATTCATTTTGTTTGATAATAATATTTTTCTACATTTATGTTATCATTAAATAACAATACAGTGAAAGTTAAAACAAGTAGAGCATTATAAAATGCCTACCCCCCTACACACAAACACAAACGAAACTAAATCAACATATAAATGTAATGTTTATATTCATGCATATGAATTGAAATATTCAAACCAACATCACAGAATATCGACTTAAATAACCAACTACTGAGCTTTGTTCTTATTGGAACAAAGTGAAATTCTGAGACATTTGTTTGTTTGTAATTATGCACAAAGCTACACAATAGCTATCTGTGCTCTGCCCACCACGGGTATCGAAACCCGGATTCTAGCCTTGTAAGTCCGCAGACACACAGCTGTGCCACTGGGGCGCCATCTGTTCAGAATAACTCATGACAGAATACTTAAATGGAGACTATAATTCATAGTAAATATTAATTAAGCGTAACAGTAAAATGTTATTAATAAGATATCTCCAGATTTCTTATTGTTTGTTTACAATATTCCTGGATATTATATGACCATTCTTGTATTCAGATTGTATCCAGGATTGATAAAATAAGTAAAAGCATTCAACATTTAAAAATGCATAATAATTAACTTATTCTATAAGTTAAAGTAAAATATACAATTAAAAACTATACGTGTTTCGGTGACAAATTTTTCACCTTCTTCAGGAGACCAGAAAATCTCTGGTCACCTGAAGATGGTGGAATTTGTTTTACCGAAACATGTAGAGTTTT